CTCACTCACTCTCACTCACTCTCACTCACTCTCACTCACTCTCACTCACTCTCACTCACTCTCACTCACTCTCACTCACTCTCACTCACTCTCACTCACTCACTCACTCACTCACTCACTCACTCACTCACTAGTAGTTGCCAGGCCGATTTCTTGGGGAGAGCAACTTCGGGAAATATGCAATGCGACTTTGCGACTTCATGGTGGACTACCTGGGAGAAGTTTGACATGAAAGAGCGCGGTGGTGACGGGGTTCGCGGCTGATATTCTTTTCACGGCTGTAGATGATCGAGAAGGCCAGGCGCATGTGGTCCACTTTTCTTGGGTGTTTTCTTTTTTTCTATCTCTCTCTCTCTCTCTCTCTTTCTTGGGCCCCGAACTATCCCGAACCTTTGAGCAGGCTGCCCAGGATATTTGTTGTGTCACGTGACAGTCACTTGAAGGTCTGTAACTATATATATATATATATATATGACCTTTCTTGATGGGGTAATACCGTAGGCAGTTGTTTGATGCATGTTCTATGAGATCACCAGGAAGGTTTTACCTACATGCCAAGAACCTCTGAATCAACAGATGCCTTGTCAATGAAGCTTCCGAACTGGACATCTCCGACGGCCCGATCCGCATCGTTTTCGACTGGACATCCACTCCCAGCTTCCCAGCTTCCCAGCTTCCCGGACGGAGTCTTCCTCTCGCCGCCGGACTCTAAGGAATGGGAACTCTTGGTTTGCAACAACAATTGCCGCTGGTGCAAATACTGGGTCCAGAGGTTGTTCTTCTTGGAGGGATGACTGTGAACCAGTGGATCCTGGTGATGTTTTATCTTTCTTTTTCTCACCTTTTTTCTTTCGCTTCCATGTTGGATGTGGTCCCAAAACGGCTGGGACCATTTGTCGTGATGGCTTGGTCCACAGGACGGATGGTCCAACGGCGGTTGGCCTTCCGAACCTTCCGGCGGTTTTCCACCAGCTTCATGGTCCAATGAGCATGCACAACGATGCAAACGCATCACAAGTTCACTTTCACCCAGACGCTCCAAACAGGTCTTGGTCCTTCAAAACGATAGGGATTTGAGGGTCCGGACCCTCCATGTGAGGGTACGGCCCCCACTTAGGAGGGTCCATGAGCGTCTGGGCAAGAGAGAGAGAGAGAGAGAGAGAGACAGAGAGAGAGAGAGGAGTCACTCTCAGAACGCCAAGGCCTAAGTGTCTCGCTGCAAGGGCAGCCATCACTGGCACGAGAGGCACAAATGGTCTTTCGCTTTCGAGACCGCAGTCGGGATGTCTTTGTCTCCAGTGGACAGGCGGGAGTGGATGGAGTGGTGCAGTGTGGAGTGGTCGCTGGTCGCGTTCCTTTTTTGGAGTCCAATCATCTGGCTCGTGCTTGGTTGGGAATGAGTTTTCTTGTTTTGGAGGCTAGGCCAACCTCGTTGGCACTCGCAGTGGTTCAACAACAACCTTGTGGTTTTCCAATTGCTTGGATTCTTGCCATGTGGAGATGCTTTTTGTGCTCCAATGGGTGACCGGTTCCGCATTCGATGTGGCCAGAATTCGATGTGGCTGGTTTCTGGCCGTCGAGCCGCTTGGGACCTTGGAGGGCAAAGCACGCCGTTGAGCCGGTTGAAGGCTTAGGAGATGGGAGCAGGTGGAAGCAGGTGGAAGCAGGATGCACCTGACAGTACCTCCAGGTTCAATCACCAGTTCAATCCGCCATCCACATGCTTTTCGTTCAACACATCGATCGATGTTTGGGGAGACAACGCCGTGGTCTTTCAGCCGCAGCAAACCTTCCCTGCCGACGCGATGGACGCGATGGACGCGACCAGCGAATGGTTCGCATAGAAGCGACCGGCGCCACACCATTCCACATCGGATTTTTTGGGGTCTCTTTGGACCGGGTCGAAACCCGGTCCTTCCCCAAAAATCATCAAGCCCATTGGTGCTCGACCTGTCGAACCCCCCCTAAAACCACGTCGACACCTCGACACCTCGACCCACCGGTGTCGCCTTCGGAAGCGCGGCGTCGGGGTTGACGCCGGAGGCGTCCCTGCTCCGGCGTCCGCCCATGATGGCACCCGGGTACTGGACGGAGCCCGGGAAGGCTGGGAGCCTTCGAAGAAAAACCTGCGCTGAGTGGAGATGCCGAATTCTATTAGTGTTTGTACCATGTCCTAAAGTTCAGTGCTAAGGTTTGTAAGAAGATACATCCTACATGGCCTTGATTGATCCCAATTTACCACGACCAATCGGCTTATTCACCCATCAGTTTTTGCCCACTGAACTCACTGCGAGTAGGAATAAGTATGAAGCAATTAGTGCAACAACAGGTATTTGTTCTCCCCTCAGGGCATGTTGACTAGTGTGGGTTACTGGTCCACCGACGATGCTTGTGTGTGTGGTCCATCAGGAATGTATACAATTGCAATATACATCTTTAACAATATCCCTGTGCAGATATCCCCTACAGATAATATGCTTGGTACCCCAAAAAGAGCTTTGATTTTGCAAAACAGCACATGTGCCTACTAGGATGCCCTGTACGTTGGGAGATCGAGAGATGCTGTTTTTGTAATACAAGTCTTTTTTGGCTCAGGGGGCTTAACATTGTAAATAATCAATATGTTGCTGTGGATGTCACACTTGTGAAGTTGGATTTCTTGGATTGGCGTCTAAGAATGGCGGCGAAACACGCTGTTAGAGCGTTGCAGCGCAAAGCTCTGGGCCATCCAACCTTGGCCGACACCAGGTTTTTGCTTTTGTAATATGTGCTTGAATGTTGTGCTGAAGCGGGTGTTGATTTTGTAGAGGAATGAAGCTGAATGAGGCGGCAGTCCTCCATATACACTCGCCATCCCCTAGGGACCAGCTGAATCTGCAGGGTGATAAATATAGATATCTACGTCGTAGATGCTGTCTTCTTCAATTCCACGGGCCCTGGAAGCTGTTTTGACAGGCTGGGATGGTGGCACAGGAGGTGGTCCCTGCGAGTAGTGAAGAACTGGTCACTTGGAGGATGTTCCAGTGTGTGAGCCCGGAGTTCTTGTCACGTGACAGGCCGGCGAGAAGGAGTTGAATGTTTTTGAAGCGACCCTCTTTCCTTCTGTTGATTGACCAATTTTGCCCTGCGAACCGCACATAATCTATGCAGCATGCGGATGGAATGGCCTGTCTCCAACTGATTCCAAGGCTGTATCACAGAAAACTCATTCAGCACGACATGGAGTCCAATTCCGTCGACATGTGCCAGCATATTCATCGCGTCTAACATCCTGACTTTGATGGGGTTTCTCGTTGGGACATCAGCCACGGGCGAGGTGTCTGGGTCTTTAGAGCCCGAGAAACAGCCCATGGTTACGTGGAGAATGGCCTGGCCCCGAAAGGAAGACCAGGTGCCATCCACTACAAACAGGTGGTGCCATCCGCTTCCATCGTCGAAGTTTTCGGGAGTGTACCAATTTGCATATTGCCTCCAACATTGAGCAGCTATAGTGAGCAACATGCCACACTGAAGGTCCTTTTCGAGGCTCTTTGCGCTAATGCCAGAGAGATTCGTGATAGCTCTAGGCGAAAATTATATCTTTGTTCTTTCATTCTGGGGGAATGAAGCAACGTGCGATTTACCAGGTATGACTTAGAAGTTGTTTTGCCTTAAAAGGCCACACGTTGTTTTTCATGTTCGATTCCACATGCGCTGAACAAGGTGTTCTGCGTGCACCCAGTCGGATATGCCCAGGTGATGCTTCAAGAGGTCTTGGATGGAACCTACAAGGCTGGATGTTTTTTGATGTACAAGGATAAACATGATAAAAGGTGGAGCAACAGAGATGCCAAAGAAGAATCTGACATTCCACAAAGTTGATATGTGTTGTTTTTTAAACGACGACAGCACGCCAAAGCTCTCGTGACCCATCCTTAACCAAAGTTCTTCTTGGGTGCCAAGATATGTCCCCCAAAACCACCACATGCCATCATATGCCCATATCCCAGGTCGATCACTTTGCAAAACTCTTTTTGCTCGTCAACCCTTGGGTTTTCTACCATTCTTTCCAGTCCACCCCACCGGTCGGGGCCGCGCTCATCGCGGCCGCGCACGAGGCGAAGCGCACGCGGGACCGTCTGGGACAACCGGTGCCGTCGCGCTTGGTCGTGGTGGCCGCCCTGCGCTCGGAGACGCCCGAGCTGTGGGCGCCTCGGCGGTTGGGGCGGTGAACGGGGCGAACGGCCGAACGTTGAAATGCAGGTTCTGAGCATTTATATAGTACTCTAGAAGCAACGAATGTGTCTCCTGCATAAGAAGCAACGAATGTAGCAAGGTGCATCGCTATTAAGTAACAAGAAGCTATTTTTGTTGTGTTCTTGTGGTTTTGAACATGGGAACGCAGAGCGTTTTCAGAAAGATCTGGAAGCTACCTGAGGAGTTGATGTGTTTTTGATGAATTCAGGGCGAACTGTTGTGGGTTCCCCTTTTCAGCACAGAGCAGAGATACCCAGAACAATAGAAAACACATCAAAACACCACAGCATACACAAGATCAGATGTCACTGATGTCTGAATTACTTTCCTTTCAAATATGTCTCCAATAGTGATAGCTTGGGGTTTTGGTACCGCGGTGGTACCGTTTCGCAGGTGTCTTGGTCATGCGGCTAGCGGGTGTCTGGGTCATGTCGATAGGTGGTCTGGATCTCGGTCGTGTTCAGGTGGTGTTGACAGGCCAGTTTTTGTGGTGGGTGGTTTGGGTGGCGGCGGTGTCTTGGTCATGTTTCGGCCTTGTCTCACTCATGCTTCGGCAGTGTCATGCGGTGTCTAAGTCGTGTTAATGTCTCTCGGTCATGTTTCGGTGCTGTCTCGGTCATTTTTCGCTGTTTCGGTGGTGTCGGTGATGTTTTGGTGGCGTGTTTGTCCTGTTTGGCTGCTTTGGTGTATCGGTTCTATTTTGGTGGTCACTGGCAAGCCGCCCGACGTGGTTGCCAAAGCGGTGCTCCTTGCAAGGTCAGCTTTTGTAGCAGCCCAGGTTCTATGCTCTGGCGGCGTGCCAGCTCCGCATGCGTCGAAATCTTCCGGACTGCGACGCTGTTGTTTGCCCAGCTTGTTGTCTCGGCCCACTGGCCTCGCTGGCTTGACAGTTAAGGACACCATCATGGAGCATGGCGAAGCTACAGCATACAGGCTGTCTGACTTTTCTTTTGGGGGGGTGCGAGGTCACCCCATTGTCTACCTTTCCCTCCCTTGTTCTCAACCGGACTTGCCTACCAGGCTGTTTGGGCATGTTTGCTGATGTTTCGGCGGTGTCTAGCCTACTCAGTCTTTGTGCATGTATGAGCTGTGCGCTTGCATGTCGCGTGAGTCAGTGTACGGAATAGATTGTGCGCCGAGGTGTTAAAAAATGCTTTGCTTGAGAGGAGAATGACTTGTATAGTTGTTGGAGGGAATCTGATTTGGCGAGTAAATGCATGTTCTGCATACGTTGGTATTCGATTTTTACAGCCGCTTGAAGAGCATTGGTATTTGGATAAACTACGCGCTGCGTGTCCAAACGCGTAGCTTCCGAGTACTTAACTATGCTCCCTGTGAGAGCCGCATTCATTGCACCTCTCCTGTTCAAAGAAAGAACGCCTCCGTCATGGAAAACACATGGTCTTTCTCCCTTTCTGTGGTAGCGGTATGTTGTTGTCGTATGTTCGTTGGTCCCCCCATGATATCCTTTATTCAATGTCTCATGGAACTTGCCTGCGTGGAACTTGCGCGCTCCCATGTCCAAACACCTGGCGTGCCTTTTCCACATGTTTCTTGCGTGCGTTTGGCTGGCTCGGCGCTTGCGTGCTTTGGTGGGTATGTGGTTCGGATGCACGAATGGTGCGGAACGGGCTCTGACTGTCCGCTGCATTCATGGCAAATTTACTGTTTTAAATTGTGCGCTCGTCGTTCAATACATGTTCCTTCTCCTTTGGTGATAACCTTTGCCTGTCATTGGTATGAACCTATTTCCATTTCAGTCTCTGTCGGACTAGGAATAGTGCGCGTCGATATTAAAACCCTTCTTGCTTGGTGCGAATCTTGTGTCGTGCTGTATTGACTTGGTTCTTCAGACATATAGACCATGCGCAGGCGCTTGAACGGACAACTCGGCCACTGGCAAGAATTCTTAAGAGCTTCGTGGTCTACGAAAAATACATGTTGTTTGCCTAGTGAACTTGTTTTTGCTACTTGTTGTCTAGATCTTGTGGTTGCATGTCAAAACCTTCTTGTGTTGGCCAAAAATGGTTGCCGACATGAAAGCTGCTTGCCTGACACTGCACATGTTCATGCATGTGTCCACTGCTTTGTTCTTTTTCTGTTTAGTTTTGAGAAGTGTCTTCTTCGCTTGTCAAGATTTGCTTGGCTTGTGTGCTTTTGTAAAACTACGCCCTACAGGATTGCGTGTCCATGGGGACTGCAAGTGGGAGCCACAAGAGGCAGCCAGCATGGAATAGCGTAGATTTGAGATTGGGTAGACCAAATCAACCTGGGGTTTTCGTTCTTGCTCATGTGCAGACACTTGAACTAGAATTCGGCCATGGGCGAACATTTCTTAAGTGGCTTGGTGGTCTATGGAGCACACAGTTTGCTTGGATATTGAATTTGTTTGTGTAAATTTGTGTAGTTATACACTATTGGGTCGCATTTCGTGATTTGTTTGTTTTGGAATTGTCCTCCATATTCGATATGTGAAAGAACAACGCAACGAACAATACACGGAAAAACAGTGCCAGATCTTAGCGAATGCTTTGCTATTGGGGTTGTCAGCTGGGGTAATTGGGTCTGTCTCACAGGGATCAACTAGCTGGGTTCGGTTGGGTTAGGTGGAAGAGTGGAACATAGTGGAACACATTCACAAATGCATGTGTTGATGAACCTCCACTTGCGATACCCTGCCTTTTCAGTGTGCCTTCTGCCTAAGCAGGTGAATTCCACCATAGCCTACCTCATGGCCAATCGCAACATATGAGCGACGGACAAAATTATTGATTGACTTATTTAGGCACGGCATGACCCTAAACCTATGTTGAGGGTTTTGTTTCTGTGGAAAACAATATGGTCCCCACCAAAAACGATAATATTGTTAAGATGTAGTGGGTACAAAGACGTTTGTGGTTAAAATATGTTATTGCATTTGAATGTTTATTGAGCATATTTGAGCTAAACCGATGGGTGCAACTTTTCATCAATGATAATCCCCGACAACTTCCCAAACGATAATCCAAACGATAAGCGAACGATAACCTAAATGTCACGCCAGGCACTCCGTAGACCTACTTCTCCACATTACCAGTGTTTGTTCCTGGGCCGAGCTACTAGGTCACCGCTTATGTGTTGTGATCCTTGCAGAGCCCAGTGCCACAAGAACCCAAGTGCATAATTCAAGTGCTGTGCCATTCCTGTGCAGAAAGCACTGTAAGCCTTTAATCTGAGGTTGTGAATTATATTTTGTGTTTTTGTCTATGTGCCGGTATGCTATGCTAACTACGGTTTGGAGAACATTGAAGAACGATATGGACCCCACCAAAAACGATAATCATGTCAAATGGTATTTGGCTACACAAGTAATTTTGTCCGCTGCTCATATGAAGAAACCATCGACCTCGCAAAGCCGAAATGCCCATTCAGCTCTTCTATCCTCCATCCATCTATCGATGCTGCATGTTTGTTATTGTTGATAACCCATCCGGTCACCTTTGTCTGTTTAACCAGCCTGGACGTCCCAGGACCGCTATGCTCGCCGAAGACAGCGCCTGGAACAAGAACTGAAGGGCGAGAAGGACATGGATTGAGTTGGGAAAGCATCGACGTCGGTCAAATGAGGGAATCGATTGGTCGGTCAAATGCTTGACCCGTGTGGTCGGACCCAGCGAGTCTCAGGTCTGGCCGTTTTTGCGCACACCGAAAACGAGAACGGATAAACAACCACGATTAGATATAAGGATAGATAGGGTTTGAACGGTTTGGTAAGCATACCCGAGTGATTGGATCACTTCGGCAAATAAACGTGACACGTTTCCATGTTGACTCTCATGCAATTTTTGGTTAATTAAAAACATTACCCACACAGCCCACACGGGCCCCTTAGAACAAACAACTGTTACATTGCAACTACCAGGGATACCTGTCGATCAGGACCTGGTCACACCGGTGACCTTGGCTGCCAGCTTGGGCCTTACGTTGCGCTGCATCCACGAGGACATGCGGGAGCCGAGGTTCAACGGGAGAAAAGAAAGGCCTTCAATGACCCAGAATGAGGATGAAGTAGATAGCAAGTATAGCCCGGACTGCTCAGTTGATGCATGTTTTCACAACAGATCGGTTGTTTGTTGATGTATGTTGATGTGTTGAATCCGGAGACAGTCTCAGACATGAACATGTTGTCAGGATGAAATCGGGTGCCAGACACTGTGCCCCAAGCAAACTCCACGTGGAGTGGGGTGAACCGTTTGAGTCCCACCAAAACTCGGCGACTCGTCACGAAAAACAATTGGTTCACCGAGAAAGGTTCTGCAGCATGTGCGAACTCGCGCGGCACGTCAAGGACCGCGGCAATGCCAGCAATGAAGCGTACCTCCTTCACGGTTCCTTGTTGTGTTTTTTGAGCGGATAGTGATGGGTCATGAGACTCTTTCTTCAGGGTCAGCGAGTCATTGTAACATATTGTAACACTTCCAATCTTTTACCTTTTTGGGGTGACTGTCATGTAGCACCCAACGAAATGTGACAATAGCTGGACCGATGAAGTGGATTGTTCGGCTCGTGTTCGCTCAAAGGGTTCAAAACGGTTGGCGCAGTTGCTGTGTGACGCACACCCATTTCATACGCTACAGAGCCTACAGTACTATTTCTAGCGGAGGTTGTTTTTTGACCCACACCATGTTTTTGTTACTCGTCATCTCAGATGCTAATGCAACATCATGCCTCTTTGACTTGGAAGATTTGGTGACGATTTTTCAAAATCATTTCTTCATATAGCAGCCTGATTGTTCAGTTGTGTTCTTATTTATTCACCATTTGGACTGGTTTGGCGTCCTTCTTCTCGGCCTGGTTTGGCTGCGACCGACGCCTTACCCGACGGATTGCGACCGTCTCTTCAGTGGTGAGGAAGCAATCCGACTTCTGCGATGTCCATCTTGGGGACGTCCTTCAAAATGGACTTAGCGGGCAAGAACGCTGGGAGCATGTTTGGACCTGGCATCTATATGGCAGAATCGAAGCTGGGCTGAAGTGGAAGGGTGGATTCGCCGCATATGATGGGTTTGACAGACTCATTGGCTGGTATGGTGTGTGGTGTTAACCATACTGATGGTCGCCTTGGTGCAGAACACACACCTAGGTTTTGAAATGTTTTGGATGGTTTCGCAGGGAGGGCTCATCGAGATTTTAAACTCCGAAAGCTCTGAAAGCCCTCCGAAAGCTCACGAAAAAAGATCACGACCATGCTTACTGTAGGTCCTTGTTCAAAAGACATTTGGGATCATTTGTGTGTGTATTAGAATAGGGATACCCACCGACACCTGCGGAGGCTCCGGTCGGATGCTCCGCTCTTGCGCCGACGGCACCAGTGACCGAGACCCGTTCTCCGACCCGTTCTCCGGGGTCCGGAACTTGTGTGGGGAGAAGTACACTATCTTTGACCGAAGATCGAGATCCTTTGTGCACTATAAGAATCATTATGACCAGAACGCAGGGATTTGGATCCTCAAAGCCTTCACCTTAGGGTGTGTTATGAATGTATCAATTGCAGCTAAGTGCCGCTATAGTTGGAGAATGAACGACGTGTTTCTGGCCAGTTGAGGTCCTTGAACCGTCGGTTGTTGAGGTCGGACTGCTCATCCAACTCGGGATGGAACACCAATGACTAAAATTCCGACCAGACGACTGAGGTCCGTGAAAGCCGATGAGTACGCCCGGGATGACACCAGCGGCTCCTACGCAGGTGCCCCGGATTGCGGAGGGCGCAGGGATCGCGGGGATCGCGGAGGGCGTTGGAGGAAAGGACTTGAAGGATCTCCTGCGATGAGAGACGTCGAATTCTTTGAAAAACGTCGAAGAACACGTTGTTTGGACATGCATCCTGGATGTTGTCTTGTTTTAATGTTCTTTTGTGAAACCAGTCGCAACTGGCATTCCGTTAAAACAGGTGGTGTCACCGTGTGAAGGTTCGAAACACATGGACGCCGTGACAAGTATTGAGGTGCCTGGAAAACCCAAACAACCAGAAACAACATGTTTCCCCAGACGGCCGCTTCCGATGTAGTGTATCTCAGTTGGTGGGTCTTCTAATTCTATGTTCGATATTTTTTGTTCAGTGTGTCACAGGAAGATCCCAAGCCTCACCAGCATTTGGGTATGGTTCCGGGTTTCTTGAGAGTTTCAGCATGTTTCAGTGGGGTGCTTGGTTCACGACTTTGAGGCTTTATGTATTGAAGGTGCTCCAGGTCATTGGAAGATTTTCTGACATGGCTTGGTCCCATACAAGTTGCCTAGAGTGAACTCCCCAAATAGATGTAGGAATGGCTGTCCTAGTATTGTAGCGGCACACAAACTGTTGGACATCAACGGCTCTGTACTGCTAGCGCATGAACCTTTGTGCCCGGTCCGTGCCTGGCACGGATTTGCAGCTGACGGACGTGTTGAGCTGAGGTATGCAACCACTCCAGCTATACAGTAAGCAGTAGGTGTCCTACCCTGAACAAAACATATATAGTTTACAACCTGCATCTTGTTCCATTGGCCTTGGACTCCAGCTACAGCGGGGGCATCTTGGGAAAAGGACATCCGGTGCAAGACCTGGTGAGTTCAGCGCTTAAGCTTAGTAGCTACAAAACCCCTGTGCTTGTTAGCTTAAACAAACTTACTATAAGCCTCCTCACAGGCCATGATATAGGCCTGTCCTATCGCTCCCCATGTTAAAAAATAGAAGACATCCAAAAGAACCACCAGTTAACAGCTCATTCTCGCAGCAAAAAACAGAGCTTGCAGCTTCAAAAGATCGAAGCTCCACGCGAAAAGGTTTCTTCTCTTCTTGCGATCACCTTGTCACATAAATGCATACATACTCTATATAATCTCATCTAATACCAAACATGTCAGGGCCGTGCCCCACCAATCCTCCCCCAATTTTCGGTGTCCACCTTCAGCCCGAGGATCGTGTATCGGGTGGTCTTCTTCGTTGGTTGCCACCTCTCTCCCCCACCTCCGCGGCCTCCGCTGCCTCCGCGCCTCTGCGCGTCGACCGCAGGTCTCTTTGCCGTCCTCTTCTGCCGTGCCTTGGTGGGCCGATCCCTGCAGGTCACCGATCCCGTCGCCTGGCGGGTTCGAGTGGAGGAACGCGGCGGAACGGACGGAAAAAGGACGTGACCGGTGGCGGTGGGTGGGTAAGAGCCACGGGGTGTGATACGAAGGAAGGAAGGAAGCCACACCGGAGGTGTGAAGCCGAAGAAAAGGTGGTTTGGTGGCGTGGTTTTGGGATGTGCATGGGCGGGGGGCCTGTTCTGATGGTTTTCGGTGGGTTTTTTATTGGATCAGATTGGAGCAGGATCTGACGTGTTTGGTTTGTTTAACACATAGACTTCGAGTCCAATGATACATGAGTTCCACTATTTCTCACCTTCGCAGATTGATCTGTGCCAGTGATGCCGCCCTCTCTGTGGCCAAACAGTGACATGTCTTGAAGGATGAAGCCGTAAGAATTCGGGCCATCGAACAGATAGGGTTTGGTGAAGGGGGCCCTTTTCCCCGGAGAAGATCCGACCCCCAAGAGGTCCGAGCCCGGAGCTATGCATCCCTCGCCGTCCCAAGTTCTCCGGCGCGAACGTCTCAGGCGGACTATGGGCCTCTGGTCACCAACGGAGACTTCCACTCGGTGGTCGGGGACCGCGAGCGCGCCGTGGGCACGCGACTTGGGCACCGTACCGACCGCGGTCGCGACCGCGGTGACCGCGATCCGGAGGGGTTTCCCCTAACCGCTCGCCAGCGGTTCGGGGCACGAAGCTAGCAGGTTCCTCCCAAAAAGAGGGCGGGGGCTAGTCCGACCTCTTCTCTTCGACTCATAACGGCACCAATCAATGTTCTTGCTCTTTTCGACGTGTTCCGGTTTGCAAGGTCAAAGGGGCAGCCACGCCTGGTGGAGCAGTTTTAGTTTCTGGAGGCTTTACCCAAGACCCGTCTCGCCGTTGCACACTATCTTAAAGCATATAATATGATTGAAAGGATTTACTATTTACCCTCTCATGAATTCTTCAAACCTGCCTCCTAACATATCCGAAAGATAAACACCCAAATGCCCAATGAGCTTCGCTGCGCTTCGCTGCGCGTCGCTGCGCTTCGCTGCGCTTCTCCGTCGTGTTGGTGTCCAAGGTTTCGTGAGTTCGTCTTCTTTCATGAAGAGTCCATCTATCCCGAGTTCGCGGTCTTCTACCGCAGAGAATTGTAGAGGCGCAGTTCGGCGCAACTGCGGGCGTTTTTGCCGCCGAGTCGGTCGCGCCGAGCGGTCGGTCGCTTCGCCGTGGCGAGCGAACAGAGCGACGGCGGAGTCGAGACCTGGGAGACCTGGGAGGTGGTGTGGAGCAGAATTCGGAGTTGGATTGACGGAACGAAGCAAAAACAGTCACTCCACACTTTTGGTCGTGTTTCTTCCGCGATTCTCTCGTTCGGCAGACGCATGTCATCTTTCAAAAGCAGTATCCCTTTTCCTTCCACAGGGAACATGGAAGACCACTGACTTGTCCCCACAGGCAGAGGGGGTCTTAGATCTAGCAGCCTAGCACTGCACACCGTCCATCGTTTCTTCCCGCAAGCTCCCCATCCAACCGCTGATCCAAACCCCCTGCTCTCGAGGTGCTGGGACCCGTCTGTTTGGGGTGCTTTGGGGTGCTGAAGGTTCAGCCGATGGAGGGAGACTCGGCTGGGAGAAGCCTGGAGATGCCATGACCGATTCGTGCAGGTTTTGGGAGACTCCGAGAACTGAGCAAAGCTTGGGTTCCGTGATCGGCGTGATCGGGCTTTCTGACCATTTCTCCAAGCAAAAGGTTTCTATAGATGAAGTGATTTGGAACCTCTGGCTCTTGCTTCGATTTGAGAGATGGGGGGTCATTCTCAGAATCAACGGCTTTGAGATGGTTTTGGTGTGTTTTCCCTTCAACCAGGAAACATCATGGGACTCTCTCGTTTTGGATACACAGGTATTGATATTGCTCCTGCAGAGTCCTCTTCTGACGGTCTATAACTTGAAGCTTAAGAACTGACATTGGACGTTCGGAACGTTGGAGAACGTGTTGTTTCTCTTTCGGAGTTCCTTGCAGCCACCACGAAAAAACACCGCTCATTTGGAACCTTGGAAAGCCTTTAGTCTTTCAAGCTTTGCATCTGAAGGATCTCGGTTTGTACAGTCAACCAGAGATCCCACCGTCACCAGTTTTCGGAGCTTCTTCGATTCCCAGCGACACACGCCCAACTCCCTCCCGAACGTGCGGAGACGAGTGTGAGGAGCGGTGTCCTGTTCCATCCGCCGCAAGTGCTCGGTGGATTTGGAGCCAAAAAGTACGGTGTGAACCGCACGAGAGAGTCCACTCAATGCTCCATGGATGCGAGGAGGCCACCCCCCCCTCCGTATCGGAATAGGGTGTTCCACTGGAAGAGGCCGGTGTTCCCCTCTTGATTTTGGCGTAGTCACGTAGTCCAAACTTAGACGCCCCTGGTCGTGCATGGTCGTGGTTGGATCGGTCTCCGCCCGCTGGTTTCACACGCGCGGAGCGTGGCCCTGGGGGAAGTCGTCTGTCGTTCGGGCCGTCCTCGTTCGGCCCCGCCAGCGCGGCTTTCACAATCCCCGCTTTGATGAGGAGGTCAGGGATCTGGGACTGCAGTCGGATGCAGCGCAGAAGGAGGCGTAAGAAGGAGTGGACGAGATGTAGACGATTCATAGGCGTAAGTTCTCTTTCAAAGTGCGGATATGTTTGTGTAGAATTGCGTGTGCTTGGCGAACGCAGCAAAGCATGTCAATTGATGAGTCTTGACTGAGTGCACACAAAGCGATGGTCGAGTCTCCTGGGGTGCCAGCTTCTGCATTGTGGTGGCTTATCCTGGTGAGCAGTCTGAGTTTAGCAGGAGACTTTTCAGAGTGCAAGTTCCATGAAAAAGACCCTATAGATCATCTAAGATCTCCTCATCCACCATCCATCCAAACCTGCTTGACAGAATCCGTCCAGATCTGGTTCTGCTCCAGGTTGGACTTGGCATGACTTAGGAGTGACAGGCACTGCTGCGTTCTGCTCCACACCCTCCTTCTCATCCCCCCGCGGCCAGGCTGCAGCGCAGCAGGACCGGGAGGCGGTCCGGTCCAACGGCGGCGAAGGGATGGAGATCGGGCTCCGATCGTCCCATCTCCTCAGGTGACCGGTGGGGACGGCGACCCCCCAAACGCACCCACCAAGACCTGTCACTGGCCCAATCGAACCGAAGCGGAAACCGGTGGGCCGACAGGAGCCCAGTCACGGGTGTGTGGAGACCCGCAGCATTCCGAGATCCGATCCAGCAGCATTCCAGTCGATTCGAGTGTTGGTTGGATCCTGTCAGGGACCCAAAAAGTTGAAGGTAGGTAACCCTTTGATCCAGCCGAGTGAGGAAACCTGATTTCCTGGCCCAGGGAGTTGAAGGAATCTGGTAAAGATACTTCAATCTTGATCCCACTGACTTGGTGCCGAGTGCAGGTCACTTGGACCAGGTCACGGGAAAAGCATGGAAAAGCACTCGACAGACTCCCTCGATTTCGATGTTTCTTCCGTCTCCTTTGGAGGCTTGTTAGGCCCTATATAACAACGACCACCATTGGCGACATGCTGGAGGGTTCCAGAGTTCCATCACGTTCCACAGTTCATTTTTGGATCTGCTACTGCCCACATCTACCCGGTCAGTCTTTGTGACTCCGACCGCCTTTGTCGCAAGCGACCGGCACGGCACGCACCGGTTCCGGCAGCGGAACGGTGCCCCGCGCCATCAGCGCCAGCAGCAGCGACCCAGGCAGCCGAAGAAGTGATCCAGTTTTGGTTCGAGGAGTTGACAGTGGACGACTGGTGCCGTTCTCAGCGACAACTACGGTGCTTCATTTTGCCCGGTGGGAGGGACACCGCGAGGAACTATAGCTGTTTGGTCGGAGGAATTTCGTTGGCCCAAATTTCTGGGCATGGGAGTTTTTCTGGTTTCACCAGTTCCAGCCACCGCACTAACGATTTGTTGGTTTTTGCTGCCCTAAGAATCCGAACGGGCTCTCCATGGCAGGGGTCGGACCCGACACCTTCGCAAGGGTCTGGGCCCTCAAGACCAGAGCCCGGATTCTTAGGGTGACACATTTCACCAGTCCGAAACTCTGAGACCTTCAACTAACCCGAAGCCAGGTTCCGCCAAAGCCACGTCCTGGACGATCGCATCCGCCAGCAGTTCGGGGCCAGTTCGGGGCAGCAGTTCCACCGCGAATCGGGGTGTAAGGGGTTCGTTCAAGTTCGGTTTGGGGTTCGTTCTTCGAAAGACAACGAAGAGAAGAGAAAGACAACTGAGAAGACTGGAACAAGAACCAAATCCAAGACAACAAAACCAGCTGCTGGCTTCCAATAGTAGGTCACCTGGCTGGACGGGGTCACCTGGCTGGACGGGTCCACTATCACTATACTAAATAGGTCTCTTTAAAACAACACCCATTTTTCCTGCCATGCAAGGAAGAGAGAATCTCCACGACGTATGTCCGACGCCTGGGCGAAGATGTCCAGAGTTTCACTTTTCCCCAAACAGTTTACTGTTGGGGTTCTATCTTAGAAAAAGAAGAGCTGGCCACACCCACTGGCCGCGCCCCTGAACTGTTTGAAGCTGTTTGGGGTCTATGCTGGTATAATTGTCATCTCTTTCCAGTGCAACGTTGCGTCTGCCAGGCGTTACATGGGCGTGCTGCCGCTGGGGAGTTAGCCGGCTGGGCACATGACAAGGATCTCGACTAGACATGACTAGACTTGAGCATCCAACGACCCACGTTACTATGGGCTGTGAGTCAACAAAAATCCCGGAAGCTCACTTATCATATCTTATCTTGACTTATTGATATATAATATACCTTTTTTTCCCCCACACGGGATGTCTCCAACGTGATTTCGGCGGAATTGGAGGAGTGAGCTCAGGCTATGCAGGCCTGCCCAACGCGCCTGCGCTGAGGGATTCCTATAAATTTTGGGTGGCCGAGTCCTTCTTTGATAAGGCTTCCTCTTTGGCATTGACTGTTGCGTGCTCCTGTTCCGTTGTCCTTGGCACTTGGGGCTTGGCTCCGGTTCTTCCTCACCGACGCAGTCAACGTCGCACGTCGTCCCGTCCACGACCTTTTTTGGGGATTTTTACAAGAGGTAATTAATGTTGATCCTATAGACAATATATACAGCGAATTCTGCAGGACAGGTATTCATTCACACAGTGTCAACAACTGATCTCTGGCCTGGGACTTGTGATTGAATCTTGGCCCAGTGCAGGACACTTGCTTGGCCTTGGTGGTGATTCTTGACCAGTTCTCTCGATGCTTGTGCCCTGGCATTATCTAGACTGCTTAAGGAGCGTCAGGGAAGATCAACCCACTCCTGGTTAGGAGGTGCCCTAATGATGAACTCATCCAGTTCAGCTTCCCTGCATTGGAATCCAACAGATGTTCCTCTTTGCACACAGATCGGAATTGGTCTAAAAAACCCTTCTACTTGTGTCACTTCCATCATCGTAGATCGTGGGCCGAACCTTCTCGCCCCTCGGCGGCCGGCAGGTACCGCGGCAGCGCCAGCGCCTACACCTGCGACTCCGCGGCGCGCGCGGCGGCCAACACCGCCATCCTCCGCGGCGACGACAAGCGCCGTGGCAGCCGGGGGTGCAGCCGTGTTCTCCGCTCGGTGGGGCTGTAGCTTAGGAGCTGGTTTTTCGGGTTCTGGAGGCCATTGTGTATTTGGCACCCATGCGTTTGAACCCACAGAAGCAGCAAAAGACGTCTGGAACGAAATCCAGTCCCAGCCACATCCTGTGTGGGATCTCAAGTAAGCTACATCGGAACATCCATTTACTTCTGCTTGTTTGGGTTTCCAGGTAGGTATAGCTATCCTACTATGTTATCCTTAAATACCCCTGAGGGTGGATTGTGTCCTCCTTTCACCAATGCAGACCACCTAGATGTTGATTTTTTCCGACCCCTTACAAACAGACCCTAGCACCCGGCCTCCTTCGCCAGGCCGTACCGCCGTCATGGCCATCGCCCGGCCGAGGACGTGGCCGCCGGGCCCCAAGCGCTGGGCGTTCTATTTGCCTTTTATGCACTCAGACGACTTGCAGGACGTGACGATCGAGTGACCGGAAAGACGGTGATGGGAAGAACACAGGTCGTTAGCTTACTCGTCAGACGAGTATATATTTCAAGAAACCAGT